GCTTTTTGAAACCCAAGTAACTGCCAACAAAGACTAAGGGAACTGATATACCAAACCATAAGCAAACAAGAGCAAACATTGTCCCAAATGGCACTGCACCAGAAGATTGCTCTCCCCAAATTAGTGCATTCAGCACAAAGAAGACGGCAAATAGGATACCCGGAAACATAAATGCAGTTTTCAACGTATTTCTCTTCCACTCTGTGCCCTTAAACATTTTGTATAGACTTGCTGAAGAGTAACCAGCAAATATTCCCATGAAAACCCACAAGAGAACCATAGCAGTCATAAGCCCTCCACGATTAGAAGGAGATAGGAAGCCCAGTAATGCAAATATCATTGTCACAAGCGTCATTCCAAAGATCTGGACACCTGTACCAACATAAACACAGAGTAAACCGTAATTGATTGGAGCCCTAAAAACATCCCCATGGACAAGTTTCCATCCTGTTTCTTCCTGAGCTTCATCTTGGGTTTCCAACTGATTGTAGTTTGCAATATCTTTGTATAAAGTTCTCATCATGATCATGGCTACCATGCCAGAGAGGAAGAGAACAATCATCAGTGAGTTTATGATGGAGAACCAATGGATCTGATCATCATTCATCAGAAGGTATGTGTCCCAACGAGAAGCCCATTTGATATCACTCTCCTACAGAAATCCACAAATTAACCTATGCATTAGGATTTACAAAGTAAAAAACAAAGACAACAAAGAAAAAGGAAAGGCAGAGTACCTTGAAAGTTACATCATAAGTGAACACAACCTCCTTGCCTACATCAACTTCTTGTGGAACAGTGCTACCTTGAATTAGATTTTTGGTGTCCTTATTGCATGTTGTTATCTGGGGATTCTTCTCATCCCATTCCTTGTATTCATGATTAATGCTGTTTATAAAAGCCACACAATTAACAATAATGACATAAGTAAGCCAGTCATTTGATAACCAACAGAAAATGACCATGATCCTACAAATACTAGTTTCTTATGTTTCATGACACAAATGTCACACAGTTTAAGTTCTTTTTCTGTATCGTATTTCAAAAGGACAATACAAATTGCTACCATAACTATATTTTAAACAAATTGAAGAATAATAAATCGGTAAGCACATAAAAAAACTCTCAAGTAGTTAAGAACTTTCAGCAACTACACGTTTTCCAATTACTATTATGAATTTTCAAATTATGAAAAAGAAAGAAATAATGGAGGTAAAAGAACACAGAATTTCATGGTTTGGAATCAGTCATAGAGTTTTATTAGACCTCGAGATATGATTCAATTTGCTCTTAATCTAGAATATCCAAGCCTAACATATATCTATTTAGATACTGCAACAAAAATATCTGGCAAGATCATTATGTTTCCAGAAATATTAGGCACAAAACTTACTATTGAAGGGAGCCCACCCACTTCTCCCAAGGGCCACATAAGGAAATTGAAGAGGATGAAATTGTAACAATGCTTAACAGCTAATTCATAGTCCAAATCCACAAAAGCTACTAATCAACATGGTTCAACTCAATGTCAAACCAAATGCAAAATGACCAAAAAGAAAGTCGAGAAATTGGTTGAAAACCTGCTTGGAGTAACCTCAAATCCAACAATTCGAGCAGCATCAATCTCAGTGTCCTTGTGAAACATGACCCTGAAACTCAAGTGGTTGTTGATAAAATACTTCTCCTCCTTGCTCTGCAAAGGCATAATCGTTAAGATAAGACAAAGAACACACAAAACTTTGAAAACAAATATTTGCTTCCCTAAGCATACCCCAGCGTAATTCCCTTTGAACCCAACACGGAAACCATGTTCATATGTTGTTGACTGACTTCCATCTCTCCTTTGTCTAAGAACAGCAACAGGAAGGTTGTCAAGAATCCTGTGCATCAAGTCCATATAATTTAGTATAAACAAGCACCACAAACTTATTAGCTGCAAAAGGAAAGAGAGGAGAGCAGCGGGGAAACAAACATTAAAAGCAATAGAGCTAAAAATCACATAAAACATCTCCATAAAGAGAAAGGAACAAGGAAACATGAATTTTAGGCATCACATTGTTACTTACATGTTAACTCGATATTCATCATTAATTTTTTCCTTGAAATTCTTCGCAGATTCAGCATCAAGTTTTTTTCGACAGACTACTTTGCAAGGCTGATCCTCCCTCATTTCAAACTAAAGCAAAACACATGAAAACACCAAAATAAGAATTGCAGATATAATCTATGAAGTTATTCATTAAATATCACTTCTCACCAACAGCAAGTACATAACACCAAAAAGGGAACAGATACTCACAGTGTAGATGGAATTCTCTATACGGTCACCACGTAGCACCTCCCCCAAATTTTCAGCATTGTTCACAATCTTGGATGGCTTACAGTAGTCCAAGTAGTAATAGTCATAAGGAAGTTGTGTCTTTGTAGATGACAATTTGTTTACTTTTACGGGAAGAGGATCACCCTGTTCAGAATCAGAAAAAGGACAATTTAAGAAATAACACAATTATAACAACAATGGAGATGAAAACCATAACAAAAGAGATATCTAACAAAATTCAGAATTGGACTAATATAATCTGAATATTCCCTCCACTGTTCCCCTGCCCCCAAAATTAGAAAAGGAAAAAATAGTTTCAAGCAAAGTAATATGTAACCTTGAGGAGAATGCAGCTCCTTTAGTGAAATGCAAAACAACATTGACAGATTTACCAACTTTAAATCTCTTTATAGTTTTGGATATTCATTGTCAAAAAGGAAATACAGTGTAAGGGATCACATCCTTAATTTCTGAAGATATTAAGAAACGCAAAAAGTAACATCCAGAAAAAGAATAACATAGCTTTTATTTCTTCATACCAGTGAATCATTACCATTGTAACTGATAGCTCTATCAGTCTCTCACCCCACACCAAAAGCTCCCCCAGGAACAAAGTGATAAGCTATAAGCCATGTTAAGAAAAAAAAGGCATCACAGTGAATTACACTATGAACCTAAAAGACTAAAACTAGACCACCTTAAGTATTTGCACACAGGTGTTTCTATTCACATTACACAATCAGGACTAAGGAGTCATTGTGCTTATTTGGGTATCATACATCTGTGCAAGTAAAATATGAAGATTGAACTAGCATAATAATTAATACAGAAAGTAATTGCAAGAAAGCACAATTGGCCTTACATTTTAAGCCAAAATAAGTTTAACATTATTAAAAAAAACCTGATACAGTAGCTAAATATCTTGCCAAAAAACAGTACATGCGGGCAATCTGGCGCTTACATTCTTAATATTCCATCATTTGTTAAGCAAAATATGATTCCTCCAGCATTAAGATTTAAAAAAAAAAAAGCTATTAGCATGTATTATTATATATCGGTTTTCTCTTTAATTTTGCTTTAGTATTTTTTAAAACTAAGACACACTAAACTGAATATGCTTTCTTCAGATTACACTACTATTAATTACTAGTCCACCATTTCAGAATCAAACCAGTAAAATAAAAATCAAATCCAAATTCCCCAAAAACAAAAACATGAAAACTCAAAAGGATACATAACAGAACTACAGATCTAAAAGAAATGAAACATCAACACATCAGATCAAACCTTAAAAGCCCTAGATCCAACTCCAATTTCCATCAGAGGAAACAAAAACGACCCACAAATCAACAAAAACATGAAAGATTAAAGAAAGCAAAGATAAAGGCAGAGAGGGGTAGAGGAAAGAGGGTACCGTTTGGAAATCGCGGGGGGCAACACCAGGGAGATAGAAGGAGTGAGCAGTGGATAACAGAAGCAGAAAAGCCAAGAAGAGAGTCTTCCTTTTCGTACCCATTTGGTCTCCTCTTCTTCTTCTTCGATTCAGGAGAGAGAGAGGAGAGTCGAAAGAGTAGGGATGGATAATACAAGGCTTTGGAAAATGTTTTGTCGGTATTACTGTTAAACCACACCAGAGAAGAGATCTTCGACCAATTATATATCTCTTTTTCTCTTTTTCCCGAAAAGAAAATAAGACAATTAAATTTCTTTTTTTTCCTTTTTTTTTTTTGTAAAAAAGGAAAGAAGGAAATGATGGAAAAATTAGCTTTAATTCTAATTAATTAAAAAATTTTTTACTGCGGTTACTTTCTTCAGTAGCTCATGGGCTAACCCTATCTGATAGCTGGAGAAATGGTTTTCCAAAATCCAAGTAACGAGATATTATTAACAAATGATTTTGAATTTGAATTCCATCATTTATTAAGATTATTTTAAATAAATAATTTATAATTATTTATTTTAAATTATCAAATATAATATATTTTATTATGATTTAAAATAACTTTCTATTTCAAAATTTTTTTTTATAAAAAAAAATTAATGAGACGTTGCTTATTAAAATAATAATGGAATTGGTAAGGAAATGGTCTGCCTTTTTATTTTTCTATAGTTAGGAGCACTTAAAATCTCTTCAAAAACCAGCAACAATGAAGTATCGATACCCTTTTAAAAACAACCACTTGAAAGCCAAATTTCTGTTTTCTTTAGTTATAGGGCATAGCCCCAAGCATTTTAACTTTAACCCTCTATATCCGTTATTTACTTCAAATCCAAATTAATATGATTTTTACCAATTTTCTTAAGTTGCCCTTTATAACTTAATTTTCAAATTTGATATAAATTCATATTAAATACAAATTTTATGATTATTTTTAAATTTGTTAGCTTATTGAAACTTTATTTAATGATGAATTTAAATGACCTACAAGTATTTGAATTTAAAATTCTTCTTTTATCCTTTAAGATAAGATAAATACATTGAATTTTAATTAAATTGTGCGTAATAGTTACATTTCATTCTTACAATTTCTACATTAAACTATATTCAAATCTATTCTCTCATATCTTTTCAAATATAACACAAACGAAACTTTGACCTTAAGTTAGGGTCCACATAGATTTGAATAATCAAAACAAGTAAACTGGCCATTGTTGTCATCTATGCTGCAATTTCATACTATATTAAAATATATAAATTCTCAGTGCATGCAGTAAAAATGATCAAATTTGTACTTTAACTTTTGTTTTGAACTTTTATATGCAAATGACCTTACTAAGTGCCAATAGAACAATAATTAACATTAAAAAAGAAAAAAAAAAAAACGTAGGTGATAAGCAAGGTTTAAGAGTGCCTACCAACCACCTAATGTTCTGCATTACCATTCGTACCTCAATGGTTTTTCCCTACATGAGAATGGATGGTTTTCAAAGAAAAGATCTAGTTTCAACAACTTTAGTTAGGACTAAAATAATACAATTTTACTAATTTTTTCCACATGCCAGAATGTGAGATTTAAACTTCTCCAGCTCAGATAGGACCTCCTCGGTAGGACGATAAATCAAATCAATCATCCGCCATATCTGCACCCAAACATCACCTCTTTTGATCAAGTTTGTTTGGTTAAGCACCAAAAATTCTGTTCTTTAGGAGGGAAGCATCATTTCACTATAATGGTCCTATAATACCATACAAATCTATCTATGATTAGGACTCCATCTAATTGTACCATTCCACCATAAAAGACCGATGTAAATAGCAAGTACTACATGGACAAGGTAGAGCCCATTGTGCCTACCTTCTCCAAGTGATGCAAGCATATTGTACATGGTGCCGGGGCAAAGGAGGTGATGAGATATTAAGTTACTAACATACTCGCACAGCATAAGCTTTCTCAAAACTCAATGTTATTGTAAATTAAACTGTTGAGCACCACTTTTAACAATTTTCCCATGTTAATATACCATATTATGTCAGTACTCAGTAGAAACTGAGTACAAAAAGAAGTTAGTATAAAAAAAGTGACAAAAACCTGGAGCCTCAATAATGTAATGGAAAAAGGCCATTTGTAAATACTAAATGGAGGTAGTTTTAGCTACCTGTAGAGTGCCACCACCATTAGTGCTTTCACAATCATCCGACACGCTGACAATCGTCCATGGATCAGATGTATTCCAGTGAAAGTCAACAACCTTGTCTCTGAGCACATATATGCAACTTAATCACCCTGGAAATGCTTTTACAATATCAAAGTTGACAGTAAAGTTCGCAGTTAAAATATTATACAAGTTTACCATCTTCACATGAACTAGAGGAAATTAAAACTAAGAGTTCCAATACCATCTAGAATCTAAAATTGCACAGTCATACAAAGGCACTACAGAAGATTTATTCACTTTTTTTATGTACTGATACAAATTTATCCTAGTTTGTTAAATGCAACAAGAAATATGATCAGGCCTTGAAAACAATGAAAAACTCAAACATAATAAACCGGTCATCCAATAAAATGTGTATGCAGCATAAAGATGACCTCTGGCATATCTCAGACATGCGTTAGAAATATTAGCAATTCTATTGATTCTTTGCCCGGTAAACAATATGGAGCTCGTTACCTATGCCCTGCATGTCGAAAGAATAGGCCAGGAGGAGCAGTTGGTACCTTCAGTCCAGAACTATCTTGCTTTTTCCCAATCTGAAAAGACGTTGTCATAAATACAATAGCAGAAATATATATATATATATATATCTACAGATTTTCCAACTACTGTTTTTTACTATCTCTAATATGTACTATTTTGCTATCACTATATACATGAGAAAGAGTAAGAGAAGGAGAGCAAAGTTGTCTTGCAGAAGCATTTAGCTTCACACCTTTTCATGATCCCAGATGTTTAAGATCCCATCCTCAGCAGAACTTCCAAAGACTGATGACTTGTCTGGAGACCACTGCAAATACAAGAATACTTTCGTCAATAACAAAAATCTAAACATATTCCCCATTATAAATACATTACAAAGAACAATGGAGATTTTGAGCTAAGCAAGTACGTTAAAAATTTTCTTAGGCACCTGTACACAAAGGACGGCTGCACTGTGGCCCTCAAATTTATGAACAGGTGATCCAACTCCACCAGAAGAGAGGTTTCGACGGTCAAATATGTGAACAATATTATCAGCAGACCTAGTAAAGGCAGAATGAATTAATGGCAACCGACGAACATACATAGATATTGGTCAAACAAATGCAGAATGTCAAATGTAAAATCACCAGAACCTACCACAAAGCAACCCAGTAGAAAATACAAGTGTCTGATTACCGGATATACATACCCAGTCAAAATGAGATTTATGTCTTGAGGATTCCAATCAACACAATGAATATCTGCACTATGAGCTTTCTCAACCTGCCCATACATCAAAAATATCCACGTGCAATTTAATAATAAATAAAAAACTAAAATGATCCACAAGAGTGAACAAAAAAGAGTGAACAAAAAAGGAGAATAGCACAAAAGAGTGAACAAAAAAGCAATGCCATAAAGAGGGCATATAAGAATTACTTTGGAGAGCATGTAAAAAATTATTTCTGTAGCATATGTGCACCAAACCATGTGCAACATACATTTCCCTTTCCTCTAGTCAGCACTACTTTTAAAATATCACAAAGTGCTAAAGTGGACCCCTTTAAAAGAGGCATAACTAGCAAGTCCTTTGTGAAGGCCTTCACTGAAAACATAACACCTATCCTTTCACTCCTCTTATATTTGACAAAGCAGTAGTCCTCACACTCAATAGGAACTTTTGTCCAGATATTTGGGACAAGTTTTAAGGTAAAACCTCTGAACATTTAAGCATGATAGAGAATCATTTCATCAAGGCTATAGCACATTGGCCACTGATATCAACTAAGGGGGCGTTTGGCTCGCAAAATCTGAGATTCCAAGGGAAAGTGTGGATTCCTTGCAAGGGATGAGACGATGTGGTATAGGAATGCTATTCCTTCGATTGGTTGGGAGAAAGTCAAATTACATAATAAAGTCTTTTCACAATAATGTCCTTCAAACTATGTCAAATACATAGTTTTGATTAAATATGACGATTGTGTTTGACCAACAAAATTTGAATACAAATTTAGTTTTTTATATTAAACAACATAAAATAAAATATAGTAATATAAATTATCAAACAAATACTACGTCGTTTGTGAAAATAGAAACACCGTATTTGATATAGAACAAAAAAAGTAAAACAATTATTACGTCGTTTCTAAAAACAGAAACGCCATAATTGATATAGAAATAAAAATTAAAACAATTAGTACATCGTTTCTGAATAGAGAAATGTTGTAATTGATATAGAAAAAAATTTTAAAACAATTATTATGTCATTTCAGAATAGAGAAACATCGTAATTGACATAGGAAAAAAAAATCAAATACTACATCTTTTAGTATAGAATAGCCATAATTGATAAGAAAAAAATTTTTAATCAAATACTATGTCATTTCAGTATATAGAAACGCTGTAATTGCTATAGAAAAAATTTTTTTTAAACAATTACTGCATCATTTCTGAATAAGGAAAGTGATCTTTGTTGTCTGAAAAGTTCTTTCATTAACAACTACGACATTTCTAATGTCAGAAATGCAGTATTGAAAGCAAAATGACAAAACATTACACAGGTGAAAAATTAATTGTACCATAGCAACCATGATGTTTTGCATGAACAAAGCGCCTTAGATGATATCAACTACAACATTTTGTTCATGAAAAAGTTGTAATTGAATGCAACTACGAAGTTTTGTTCATGGAAAATGTCATGGTTGCGTGTTTTGTTCATGATAAAAAATTAATCAACAATTAGGGCGTTTGTTCCCTACAAACGTCATATTTGACAATGAACAAAAAAAATAATACTCAAATACTACGTTGAGCTTCCAAGAAATGCAGTATTTGAGCTATTTCTTTTTCAATATAAAGTTCATAAAAATTAATTATTATTATGTTTCTTTTTATACGTTGGTTTTCAAAAGGGAAAAATAGAACGATAAAATTTTTTATTCGGGTCAAATATGTTAAAATAATAAATTTACTCCCAGAATCTTAAAAAACCACAATAAGAGGTGGGTTTTGGTTCCGAGACTTTTAGGTACTATTGGAAATCTAGATTAACTCCCGAAATCAGACACCAATGAACCAAACGTGGGAATCACATTCCCACAAGTTTAGATTCCAGGGGAAAATCTCATATTCCCCCCGAACCAAACGTCCCCTAAAGGTTTTCTTTTCAAAGGCAGACAAAAGGCCATCCTACTAACTTGAGGATTGACATTAAGTACACAACTCGATATTTTGTTTCCTCTACCATACCTGAAATGTGACAACTATTGTATGGAGATGTCAAATAAAAGGTATCATGACACAAAATTTGAATAGCAAAAAGATAGTAATACTCAGAAGAATTCAAACCTTAACAGCCGGACTGGAACCAGTTCTTGCATCCCATAATATAAGACAAGAATCATCACCTATGCTGCAGAATTCCTGAGCACTAATACAAGGTACAAAACAACAGAAGAATCAGAGTGAGGAGTTGTTAAAAAAATTTTGCATGGTTGAATGGATTCAAGAAAGATATAAGGATTCCTGTCTACCATGTCACTCAGAATATCCTCATGAGAGAAATCTCAAATTCCCAATAAATAAACTTTAAATAACAATTAAAACAAAAACATCAATGACGTGCCTAGCATGCAGCAACTGTGCATCACATAAATCATGAAGAAACAATGACACAAACCATGACAATAATCTAGTTACTTTGCAGGGCAGAATTGTACATCTTCAACGGTATCCTCATGGCCCCGGTAGATACCTCGTGGCCCAATGGAAGGGCCATCCACAGGTTTATCATTACTCCCACCACCCTTAGAGGCACATTTCGTACTTGTGCCAGTAGATCCCGAAGACTTTGTGGGCCCTATTACTGTTGCCAGAGTAGAGATATGATCGTGAATACTCCAGAAAACCACTGACTTGTCCTTGCCTGCAAGTAAAATCTCCTTGGTCAGAAGGATTATTTGAGAGGAAAATCAACATGTAACAGAGAAAGAGGAAAATAATTAAGTTTCCAGCACATGGAACAATGAGTGTTTTTTTAATTTTCCAGAAAGAATACTGCATGGAGGCATATTTTAAAGTATATACATTACACAGAGTTCCAACTTTTCCCAGTTTCTCAAAGGTGCAATTAGCAGACAGAATTTGTATTCCAGAGGTACAAGGTGTAATTATATTCCATTTGCCTCAGGAATTCAAAAGAATCAGACAAACCAATAGACATAAGACTGACTGACCATCCACCTTGAAACAATGATAAGACAATCCCTCATGGCGGCAGTGCCGTTCAAAGAACCAAGATATCATAACAATTGACCACTGAGGTGCCACAACTGCCATACAGAAAACAGCATTTCAAGTCCATAACATGTTTCCAAAGTCTCTTTCAGTAAATCACCACAACTACCTTATGACTAAGCCTTGGTTTAAGATCATAAGCTGCCTCACCGCAATGGCCACCAAAAGATAGAGAAAAAACAAACGTCATAATGTTGATCATGTGTGCAGGGAAGAAAATGCCTTAAGGATATCAAGTAAATAGTATGTTAAAAAATAGTTATAAGAACGTAGAAGTAATATATATACTTTTTCACTACAGTAGTACTTGCATCAAACATGTTTCTTATTTTAAAAAATATTGTGAGATAAGTAAACATGTAAATATATGACCACTATATCACTCTGTAATACTTGAAGAACAATAGCAATACATAAAGCATTATCATGCATGTTCACTCTACATTATCTAACTATTGCTCATCCAAGGTTTAAGAAATACAGAGATTTTGAAAGTATGTGAAGTAACACAATGATTCAACCTCCAGATAGGACAAACGGTTCAGTTGGGCACATAGCAAGAGCAAATTCAGCATTTTCTTGATGTCCGGTCAATATCTGCGAAATGGTAGATTCTAAGTTAAAAACAACCTGATGACAAGACCATGAGAACAAATAAAATGTCCAAGTAGCAGAAGCTGCATCTTAATTTTCCAAAGTTCAATAAACAGCTAATATTACATAGTTAAGAATTTTTAAATTATTTGTCAAAAACATCTAAATTATCAATTAATGCAATCATGAAACATGCAGATAAACTTTTCTCTTTTTTTGGATAACTAAACACGCAGATCGTTACACATAAGTACACAGATATTGATGGAGAACAGTCTTCCAAGTTTTGAAGGAACATTTATTCTAGTCGTAGGTCTAGAAGGTAGGACTCAATTTGTTAGTGGACTTGCTTGTTTGGGTTATTTTGCTAGTGGATATGTTTTTCCCATGGGCTTAAAGCCAAGGTTATGGAGCTTATATATATTTAGGTTTTATTATGCTTGAAGTTAGACTTTGATTGTTGAAGAAATTGAAATTTTCTGAAAATTGAGTTTTGAAGTTACTCGTACTACATTAGACATAGTCACAAATTTTCAAATGAATAATTCAAAGAAAGACAAGGCATTGACAAAAATATCACAAACTTAATTCCCTTCGGAACAAACCAGATCTGGCCGAGAATTTGTAGCTCCCAGCACAGCATGACGATTAGGTTGGGCCTCTACATCCCAAATGAGGACCTATTTTGAAAAGTCAATGTACTTAGGCCACATCGAGTGTAAATAACTTATAAACAAACTTCAAATACAACGAAAACAAATACTACATGTTAGATACCTTTGCATCCTTAGTTCCTTTTATCCAAAAAGATAAGATGAGAAAATAATAAATGCTTACATCAGGACTATCAGTATGTGTCGCAACTATCTTGTTGTTCTGTGGGAGTTCTCTGATTCTATTCACCTGCAAAATGGCAACCATAGCATCCTAAATGACTCCAAGGAATTCATTCAAAGTTCTATTAGAATTACAAGAGATTTTCATCATTTAGAGAATAACATAGAGAGCTTCGATAAGACATAATAAATAAATTATTTTCTCTTATATTTCAAGTATTAAGTTATCAGAAGTTTCTAGAATAGACCCTGTTCTTTCAAGAAAGCAAACTATTTTTTCTCCATCTTTTTTCAATTCAGTAGTGAATGTATGTTGTGCAGTACCTCGTGTGGGCACCATCTAAATTCAAAACTTAGTTTTTATTAGATCAATAAGCTGCCACTACAACTAATCGAGTTAGAAACAAGGGGAGAATAGGAGCCACACCTCACCAGGGTATACAATAGTTTTACATTTCTTTACGAAGGGAGAACGTGCTTCTTCATTGAACTGCAAGATCAGGCAAGAAAAGAGTACCACAGCAATTCACTAAGTAAGATAAAATCTCAGCTGAAAGGGGAAAGCAGAAGAGATAAATACGAAAAAAATATATATTTTAAGTCAAATCACCTGAGATATGTGCTCTGCAGCGGCAACCCTAGGTTTAACAATCTCACAGTTTGCTATTACAAGTGTGTTTGGAACACTTCCATCAGTCTGGTAACAGAGACAAATGTGAATTAAACAACCAGGATGCATCAAAGATCAAGCAAAAGAATGTCTAGACACAATCAGAACAAATTACCCCTCCCTAAGGTGAATTGTTAAGTATAACACCAAAGAAAGAATGCAATAGGTTCACACATTTTCGCACACGGAAAAATTTTTCAAAAACAATGTTTTATGTCTACAGCTTTACCTGTTGAAAAGGCCAATAAAGTTTTTTCATTTACTCATATTAAACTACAAACAGTAACTCAAGAATCAATAGGAACCCAATTCAAGTTCTCCCACAAAGATTGACTTGCCTGTTCTGAAAGGTAAAGACGCTGACGATTCTTGTAAGTAGCTTGCTCTAGTAGTGGGCCCCACCTATCATCACAAAACCATCAAAGCTCAAAAAGAGTTGCATATTTCTGATATTCGTCACCCTTTGTTCCGTATACATACATTTACTAATGATAATGATATAAAATTCAAATAAAGAGAAAGCAAATGCACCTTAAAAAAATAAAAAACAATAATATAAAACTAAAAACAACGGCAAACATTTGGTACATTGCAAGAATGACTCAGTTTTTTTTTTCGTTTAGCACTTGCCTTCAGGTACTCAGCAACCAAACAAATTATGAAAAAAAAAAAAGTCTTAAATTGGAAGCCCTACTGAGCGGGATACAGTGTACGAACCGGCAAGAAAGAGAGGGCCAAACAAGGTTATGATTAGCGAGCCAATCGTATAGGACAGGCACCAGAGACTTCCATTGAGTGTATCTCTCCTCCACCGATCTCACTTCATCCGCCTTCATTTTTTTCCCTTCCATTCTTCTCAGTTCTCCCTGAGAATTTTCCTCTCGCTTTGTTTTTTTTTTATTTTTTATTTTGGCTTTTTATTTTCTTTATGTTTAATAAAATTTCCCACCTCCGGTCCTATTTCTTGGGTTTTGCACTGAGTTGAGTCGTGTACCTGTGTCCCCCTGAAGGGAGACCTGACCTTATGGACTCATGTCGATCTATAGATTGAGCAGTTGTCAATGCGGTGTGGACTAGGAAAAATAAAAAGGCTAAGCTAGCCGTAGAGCTTGCTCTACGGTAACCGGCAGTCAGGTAGGATTTAGGTTGGTTAATTTAGAGTTAATTATAATACGTCTCTTCGTTATTTAACACATGTTTTAAAAGTTCATGTCCAAATAGTAGATACAGAGATGAAAGGATTCCGTATAATTTTTTATTAACATGTGACATATAAAGTTTAAGATCATTTCATTAATTTATTTTTTTTACTTTGATGATGTTATTATTATTAAAATGAAAGCAGTAGATAAAACTTTTAAATATGTTTATATTTCAAAATAGATCTTAAATAAAAAATTTGTTACTCTTCTTTTAAAAATATAGACAATAAGTTACTAAAATCTTGAATATCGGTTAAAATATATTAATTATATATCTTATTTATGAAACATTTATGTTTGATATTATCTTGATAAATTAATCAATTCGCACACTATTAAAAAAATAATATCAAATAGTATTATTATGACTCTATCACTCGAAGAGTCAAAACTGAAGCTGTCAGTTATTAGAACCTTGACACTACTATCTGTTATTGTATCAAAAATGTAAAAACTATCTTCTTCACAGTATTCTTAAATTATAATATATCTATTTATGATCTAATTTTTGAATTATATAAATTTAATAATTATAAAAATAATATTCAAATTAAGTATTCAAATTTTATTTTCATTAAATATTTTATTTTACACATTAATTTTATTAATGATAAATTGATGTGATAAAAAATAACTATTAATATCATGACGTATGGTACATCTTTATTTATTTATTTTTAGGAAATATACGTCTTTATTTGTGAATATGTTATGTATCAATATTTTGATTATCATGTTAGTCTATTATGTAAAACATTTGAAGAAAATAAAGTTCTTATATTTAATTATAAAATTAAGAATTTGATCATAAAATTTTTTAAATACCCAATCATTAAAAATAATATGTTTTAAAAATCAAATCACACAATAATCTATTAATTTTATATAAAATCATTATGAATAAGGAGGGTTTTGATAATTTGAATATTACATTTTGGTAAAAAATTTCAAATAATGAATATTCAAGTTTAAATTATTTAAAATTTAAATTAAATTAATTTAAATTCAAATTATTTTGAATTAATTTCATAAATTTCTAATTCATATCACATCAAATTTAAACTAATTAGTTCAAGTTATTAACTAAAATTTTATATGATTTTAAAATTTAGAGAAAAAAATATTATTTTTATAAAAGTTTTTATGTGATTGATGCATGTTCATTTAAATAATTATGCTAATTAATTAATTTCTTTATTTATAACATCGTAAAAACGCATGATAATCTTATAATTTATTGTGAAATAAAAAAAAAAACTCAATTACTAAAATAACAAAAAAACTTTTGCATGATGTTATAAATTTTTATTTTAAAAATACAAATTGGTAGTTTTTATATTATTTTTAATTTAAAGAAAATATATTTGATAAAATAAAGAGTAAATAAAAAACAAAAGTACTTTTTTTTTTATTTCTCTCCTTTCTCCATTAACTTTTTTTCTCTTTTGTTTTTTTTTTTTTAAGAATAAATTGGGATAGATAAAAATATATATATTTCATAGTTTATAGTTTTTTTTTATAAAATTATTACAAATCATACTTTTTTATGTTAGAAAATATTAAAAAAAGAAATTAAAGAACGGTGGAAAATGTCTAAAACCTTTTTTAATAATAAAATACCCAAAATAAAATTTTACCAAAAATCTAAAATTCTATTTATATCCTATCTTTTACTTTCTATCTGTTTTTCTATGTTGATTTTTTTAAAAATTTTTTATAGAAGCAAATTATAATTTTAAAAATAGATACATATTGAAAAGATTGTATATGTTTTATATGTTTTATATTGTTCTAAATTGTGATTTTCAAAAAAACTTATCTAAAATGTAAGAAAAATGAAGAAGAAGGAATTAAAAAATGAGACAAATAAGAGCTTATTACAATTTATAGTTTAAAAAAACTCATACGTTGACGAGGAGAAAATTAGCAACAGAACGTTGACGCAAACCGCAGTTAAAGATCCAAACGTTCATTTCAAAATTCAATCGACCAACGGTTGTTAAAAGAACAGTGAAGAGTATGATGGAAGTCGAAGGAGCCGATGGTTCAAAATTGGCGCTAAAATCCGGTTCCAAGACCATATTCGGAAGAGGTTTGGGGTTCAACACCAGCGACCGGATCGTGTCTCGCCGTCACATTTTACTCGAGCTCGAAACTCCGGTGGACAATAAAGGTGAGACTCAAAAGGCGCCTAGGGTTTCATTCGAAGTTACAGGCAAGAACCCGATTTGGGTACGGAGCAGAACAAAAGGAGCGATTAAGGTTTTCAAAAAATCCGAGAAAGGTGAGCTGGCAGATGGCGATTGGTTCTGCGTTTCGGGTCGAATCCCTGTTTGGTTTGTATTGAAGAGGAGTGAAGAAAATGGAAAAGAAGAAGAAGAAACAGATTTGGGGAGTGATAATGGAGCAGAGAGTGTTGATATAGAAGATATTGACCCTGTCAAAGGTAAAAATGGCTTCTTCTTTGTTAAATTTGTTAGATTTAGTTTGAGTTTGATCACAGAAAAAGAAAAGAAAACCCAAGAAAATTAATTATTTAATTAATTAATTACTACTTTTATTTTAACTGTTCTATTAGCTTTATATTTGGCAAGTTTCTATTTTTAGTTGGATAATGAATTGGTAATTGCAGAATTTGGTTTTCTTGTAATGGGGCATGAGTTTGATCAATACCCGAATCAAAGGATCCGTAATATAAAGAACTGGGACTGGTTTCTTGAGGAATACGAAAAGGGAAAAGACAGCGAGGATGGTGATGATGAAGCTGTTGAGGGAAGAAGGAGGGGAAGTAAGGGGAAAAAGAGAAGGAAAGGAGACAATGATGATGACTGGACTGGTGAGAGTGAGGATGAGATCAAGGAGGTTACCACGAAAGGAAGAAATGTCCGTAGATCAGTTTATTCTACAAGATCAAAGGACCGTGGCATGTTAAAGAAGGATGGTGGAAAAAATAGAAGTTATGCGCAGAAGAAAACTATTTGTGCTGGGGAAGAAGGTGGTGTAGACGATGATGATGAAACACTTGGTGGCTTTATTGTGGAGGATGATGATGATGATTTAGAATTAGAAGATGAATATAGCGAATTGGATGAACAAGAGGAGGAAGATTTTGATGATGAAGATGAAGACAATGAAGACGATGAGTAAGTAGATAGCTTTCCCAGTTAACCTGTTTTAACTAGCTTGATATCGAAGCTCTAGTTGTTGTCTGCAAAACATGTGGTGAAAACACATAATGTGTATGTAAGAACAGTTGTTTATTTCTTGAATCTTTTGTAAGGCTAGATTTCAATGAGGTATATATTTTTTCTGATATATATAGTCCATAATTCATTGGCCATTTGGATTGCTTCTTTTAGTAGTTCAGACATGACTAGTTTTGGATCTAAATCATGATTACTAAACTGTATGTTTCTGAAGTGCTTTGGTTTTTTATTCACCAATAAAAAGAACAACCATGATAAGATTCGAATACTTCGCTTCTAAGCTCTAGATTCAAATTCTGCTGCAAGGAATCCTCCTTGACGGCAATCAGTAAGTCCAATATAAGTCTTCTCTGAGACCTATAATAAGCTTCTTCTCACCCCACACTTTTTTTTTTTTAATTTTTCAACTAAAAACTAAAAGGAACAACGAGCTGAGCCTTTTTTTTTCCCAGTATGTGGCGATGGCCATTGTTGCACACCTGGTATTAAAACTCTTTAATCATGTAGAAATGTTATTAGTTTTGAAATGGCGTGATTAATTCCTAAAGCAACATCAAATTCAAAACCTGTTGAATGCGGCATGAGCTGCATCCGAGACCATTGTCATGGCAGCCGAGAAACATGTCATGAAGGCTTCAGTAGATGAGGTGGAGATGCCTCTGCCATTTTTGCCGCTTGGATAGATGCGATAACCTTAAAGAGTTGTTCTCTGGCGAGAACGAAAATGTACATTAATTTCATTTTACATTATGGTAAATGGGTTTTTATGCAACAGCTTTGCAGTTGCAGAGGTGTTTGGCTTGCTAATCTATTTCTGGCCTAATCTCTTTTCAATTAAAGACTTAAATAAATTAATTGAAAAACGTGGCAAATTAGCCGTTTAACTGATCAGCAAAACTGTCACTTCAGGTGGTTTTGTGGGTCCAACTAGCATATCCACTTCCTAAACATCCAAGTAAGACGCTCCTCAACCGCGCGTGAATTTCACTACCGCCCATAGCAAGTGCCTTGCTTCACCCGTAATAAATAGGTTTGCGTTGCGTCTCAGTTCACTTACTTTTCCCTTCTCTTTCTTCTAATTTTTCATTTGTTTCCTAGGGTCTCATTTGTTCTTCTGACTGCATTTTGATTTTCTCGCTTCCCAAGCATCCCCTTAAACGCCAAAAAATGAGTAACGACAACGCAGATAACCTCGACGTATCCGATCTCGGCGCCGCCCTCCCCGCCGCTGCTGCCGGTAACCTCTTACTCTCTTCCTGTCTCATTTTTTTTTAAATGGCATGTGAATAATCCTTTTGATTATTTTTGTCTATTTTACAGTATTTTCTTTCTGCTCAGTTCGCGTGTGATTTGATTTGAAATCAGCGTCTGATTAATCATTATTTGATATTATCTAAAGTTTCTCGATCATCTGATTGTTCTATCCTTAGCTTTGAGCGCAGAGGATCGCGCCGGCCTGGTTAATGCGCTTAAGGCAAGTGATTCTTGTTATTTATAATGCTTCTGCTTTTCTATTTTAGAATGGAAAACAAACAAATGAGAATTATGAGTAGTTTGTTTGTATTTAGAAGCAGTTTTAAAGTTTTTAGCACCGATGGTTCACCATTTCGTATACATTGATTGGATGATGGTATGGGAACTGTGAAGTTGTGTTATTTCCATGATGTGATTTCGATTCATTTATTTTTCTCCTTGTTGGCTTTTTTTTGCAGAACAAGCTTCAAAATTTAGCGGGACAACATACTGATATACTAGAAACTCTATCACCAAATGTCAGAAAGCGTGTTGAGATTCTCAGAGAGATCCAGGTCGTACTCTTGCATCTTATCTTGAATATGTGTATATTTTCTGTGCGTGTGTATTGCACATCTAATCTTTCATTAGATGGAGGGCATGTTCTTTGTTGCCAATTTCAGTGATGTAATCATACATCCCAACTCATGCTTTACCTCAATCAAGATTGATAGTTTTTCAAAGTTTTTATATTTTTTATTACTTGAGAGAAATTTTCCATCATTCCTTTGCCTTTTACTTTATTACTTTTTCTTGCCCGAGGGGTGGGGGGTTGACAGGATTGTGATTTGGGCATTTTTGGTTTGTCAATTTATTGCCTTGCAATTGGTTTCTTGCTTTGTAAAGTAACTTATGTTAATGAGAATGCTGTGCTTGTTTGAGGATGATTATTGGTATTCCGATTGATGTTTGAATCTGTTAGATGGATTGCTTTTCAGATAATGTCAGCTTAGATGGTTTGACTCTTAAGTAATAACTGGTTGCTTTTCTGGCATGCATGTTTGGTTTCTATGGTGGTTGTTTTTCTTAAAAGTGCTCGTTTTGTCCTAGTTGATATGCTGAGTTCCTCAAGGAGAACTTTTTTGCATCCCCTAAAATATTGGATTTATGAATACCTGAACAGTTAATAGGAACTACAGCTAAGGATACCATGTAGAACTATCTAGTTCATAGTATATTCAAGCTTAGCTCTTCTTCTATTTTCTTTGATACTTTTAGTACCAACTTTCCTTGAATTTGAAACCAGATTTCCTCGTATGACTTTTCTACTTACCATAGGCTTTAAGTTACTGTTTGCAATGTTACCGATGGTTGGGTTTAATATGATTTTTCACTTGGTCTTTAACACTTATGGTGGCTGAAGAATGTTAATGTTTAATACAATTGGGAGTTCGGCACCATTGCTCCTGAAATTGGTTTGAGTATTCGACTATGAGTTTGTTTGGTTTTATAAGAAGAATACTGCCTCACATATTCATTTGGTTTTATAAGAAGAATACTGTCTAACATATTCATTTGGTTTTACAAGAAGAATACTGTCTCAGACATTCAATTTGCAGAGTGAACATGATGAACTGGAGAAGAAGTTTTTTGAGGAGAGAGCTGCATTGGAGGCTAAGTATCAGAAACTTTATGAACCACTTTATACAAAGGTCTGCCGGGTTCTCTTTTGGACATATGGTTTTATTATTTCATTTCTGAACCCTTGTATATTACGATGTTTCTTGTTTCATGAGGCTTGATTTATTCACATGCATATTTTTTCTCATATTGCTTGGCTGATCAGATGTATATTTCTTCTTTTAAAAAATGAAGAGATATGAAATTGTAAATGGTCTAGTGAAAGTTGAAGGAGAAACAAATGAAGCTGTAATGGACAAAGAAGGGGATAAAGGTGTAGAAGGTATTGAAGCTTGGTTGACTCATGCAATATTTCTGAAATTGTATCAATGCATTATTCCCGAGCTTGGGTTGACATAATCTTAAATGCAGAAAAAGGAGTGCCTGACTTTTGGCTCACTGCAATGAAAACAAATGAAGTTTTGGCTGAGGAAGTATGTGAATCGTATAATTCCTTGTCTAATTAGTTTTATCTTTTGATTTGAAAATGTATGTTATGATTTTATCTTTTCTGATACAGATTTCAGAGCGGGATGAAGGGGCTCTCAAGTATCTTAAAGATATCAAGGGGGGCAAAATTGATGATCCTAAAGGTTTCAAGCTGGAATTTTACTTTGATTCGAATCCTTATTTTAAGAATTCTGTCCTCACAAAAACTTATCACATGGTTGACGATGAAAATGAGCCCATTTTGGAGAAAGCAATTGGGTAAGTTAATATGTGCTGTTGTACTGAGAAATTTTTAAGTTATCCTTCTATATATATCTTATAGTTTAGGGTAATTTGTAGAACGAAGATTGAATGGTATCCTGGGAAATGCCTGACACAGAAAGTCCTGAAAAAGAAGCCAAAAAAAGGATCAAGGAGTGTTAAGCCCATCATAAAAACTGAAAATTGTGAAAGTTTCTTCAATTTCTTCAACCCCCCTCAAATACCAGATGATGATTATGATATTGATGATGAGCTTGTAAGTTTGACATTTTCTTTTGAAATAAGAAGCCAAGGCTAAGTCAATAATTGAATGGACTATTCTTCTTAGTTTCTTTGATATATCTATCAACAGGCTGAGGAACTTCAGGATCGAATGGAACATGACTATAACATTGGGTGAGTCTCGGATATCTCTTTGATAATTAGAAGATGGATTTCTTTGGTTAGTACCTTGTCAGGGTAATTGTTTTTGGATAAGTGTTTCCAGGGTAAGGTTACTGTGGCATATTAAATGCTTTTCATTTCTTACTATTTTTGAGATTAAAATTGTTTTGCTCTGAAAAAAAATTGTCATTGATGCTATGTGAGAGATGAAAATGGGGAAAATTATTGGTGACGGTTTTCGTCTCTACTTTCTGAAATGAACAGAATTGTGCTGTAATTGAAATGTCATCATTTTGCTTATGTTCGCATGTATGAGATAGGTTTTGAATCATCCCTGTTTTTGTTTCTCAAATGACATGATGGAGTGTTTGTATAGTTCGGCAATTCGGGACAAACTAATTCCTCATGCGGTATCATGGTTTACGGGGGAAGCTGTTCAGGGGAACGAGTATGATGGCTTAGAAGGTGATTATAACAGTGATGACGAAAATGGTGATGAGGATGAGGATGAAGATGAGGATGAGGATGGAGATGAGGAAGAAAAAGGCGAGGGCAAATAAAAGTTAATAGCTCGTTAAGATTTCACTGAATCCATACTCTCGCATTTGAAGTTCTGTGATATAGCTTGTTTCTGAAAATTAAGTTTGTTCGTTATTTTATCCTTTCATATGTTGAAAATTTCCTGCATTCAGTTATTGAGCATATAATGGCCACAAGAATGTTATTGGGTTTATAATGAGATGGTACCATATGTTTAGTCTATAGACATGTGGCTTTACAAGGCATGCGATGGTCGATGTGTTTGTAATTTGTGTAGCACTTTTTTTTTTTTTTTGTCTCACACAAATCTAAACAAAATAACATATTTATATAAAAATTTTAAAATTCTAAAAGACCTACCAATAATGTAACTTCTAATAAATATTAAACGTAGTAATAAGCAAATAACAGCCATAGTAAAAATATAAAGTCGGCTTAACTCCTACATGCCGGCTTCTCAAGGATAAATGAAAGATAAGATTTTAGGAAGGGAAAATCTCATTCAAGTCTTTCAGTTGTAAGCGTAATTTAATATAAGTTCTTAAAAATTGGATAATTCATCCTAAATTTTTTAATTTTGTTAGCAAATTTTATGATATTACAAAATTGCTCTTCAAACTTAAATTTATTGTATTTATATGTATTATTCTTTATTTTATATATATTTAATATATAGTAACAAAAAATATTTATATTTGAATATTATAATTTTTTAATTTGGATTTATTTATTATAAATAATTTTCTGCTTAAAATTAATAAGTTTACCATCACTATATTTTCACAAACAATAGATTTAAATTTAACATATATATATATATGAGTATTATAATAATAAATTCAAATTAACAAATATTCAATTGTTTTTTTAACCAAAATTTTTTTTATGTTATATTTTTCATGTTCCTTTTTTTTTTTTTAAATTGTTACGTACTAAAGTAATATTACATGTTTAATCTATACATATATTTACATATTAGCATATTTATAATTCTAAATTTTGTTTTTTTTATTATTATTATTAACAATATTAGAGATTTTTGAGAAAAAAATAAAAACAATTTTATTTATTATTATTGTTATTACTTCATATGAGTATTTGAAAATATTAATTTTTAAAGGGTAAAATAATCTTTAAATAAGATTTTTAGTAAAATAACTAGTAGATAGACCTATTTGTCTTATGAAATTGAAGAATTTAGGGTGAATTATATATTTTTCATACTAATAAGTTTGCGTTGAATTATACTCGAGGCTAAAAGATTTAGGCGGAATTTATCCTTTTAGAAATTAGCATTCAAACCATATAACAGCCAGTTTGCTAGAAAGGATCAAGAAGGATATCTTCACCCCATGTTAGTTGTCAAATTGTCATACTTGCTTTTGACAAATTCTTCTCAAGTTTTTGGAGTGCATTGCACTGTCATTTGCACAATCCATATGCTCATCATCATTAAATAGTCCTATTCCTATATATATATATATGCGACGAAAACAATGTTGTTTGCCTCCTTTCTTTTTAGCAGCAGCCATGTTGCTTGGAGGGCCATGATCACCTTTCCCCCTTGTTTTGAGTTTTCAATTACCGATCCAATTTCTCCACAACCCCAAGTCTTCTCTACTTCCCTAGTCGGCATCAAAATTTACCTACTTTTCAATTTGTTGCTGCCTGTTGAACTGCTTGGGCGTTCATATTTTCATCTAGAAATATAATTTATCACATTTAGACAGATCCCTCTAAATCAACTCAATGCTTGAAATAAATGATAATTTTGTTAGTATGTGTGATTTTGAGAATTTATCATATAAAATGTAAAGCATTCAAATCTCACGTAACATACTTGATTTTTTTTTTAAATAAATTATAATTTAAAGATAAAAAAAATATAAGTATTGAGATTCAAATTCAAATTGTTCAATATCATATTTTAAGAATGATTATAAAAATTAAATTAAGTTTCAAATTGTACTTTTTTTTTTGAATAATTCTATTATTGAATAATTAGTAAACTATAAAGTAATAGTAAAAATTACTAAAAGTGAATAGCATACATAAAGTAAAGTAGAAATGATTCGGAATAACATCAATCCGTGTCTCTTTATTTCTTTATTGCAATAATAAATCCATCTAAATGTTATCATTTGCCATTCTCGGCTCTTAATCCTTTACATATTCTTGGAACTATTTCAATTGATTTTGGCTCTTTTCATGCTCCAAGCATTCAACTCTGCAATCTTTACTGCCTCACTTCCATTGTTGAAAACATACAAGTGGGCAGCGCTGTTAATTGCCAAGGTGGGATAAACTCTGGCCGTGATGCACGCTTTGCCACCTCCACCAAAGCTCTCCACTATGGAATGATCTATCTGTAAAAAGAACAATTTCCAAGTGTGTGAGAGACAAAACACATTCAAAATGATGAAATGGGTCAAATGAAGAATGATTAATCCCAATTTCTAAATCCAGGAACTCTAGGTTCGCAAAAGCAATCCCTTTTTCAACAATGACGTCTAAATTTTCCACTGGAAGATGATAGTGGGCCTGGTGCCAAATATGCGATAGCTCTTTCACTGAAGACATAGACATAAATTGTCAAATGAAGCAAAATTCTTTATAGATAAGAAATGCCTTCCCAGTACCAACTTGTTTTTCTTAAAAAGGTCATCCTCCCATCTGATCCAAATTCCAAAATTACTAAAAAAACTATACTACTTTGTGAAACAATTGAGAAACCCATGTTTCAAGGCCTTTTGGCTTTGAGATTTGCTTGGTTTCGTAATAATTGTCTTCAAAAAAATATATAAAAACAACGAAATCCCATTGGCAGCAAAGAGTTTTGGTAATTGGATAGAGTATAAAATGTTAAATCAACTTTTGTTAAAGCTGATCTATCTAAGTTACTTTAGCAGGGCTACTTCCGTACTTGGTTGACTTTGAACCTTAAATCGTAATTTTTTATAAAAAATATAAAAATTTAAATTTATTAAATGTTATTATATAAATTGATTAAATAAAATTTCCGTTAACAAAAAATTTGTTTTGGATTCTATGTTATCTAAATACTCACCAAACTCCTCAATGACAACTTTTGATGACGAGGGTCTACGTCCAGGAAAGCCCCATATGTTGTCTTATCGTTATCTTGGTTTAGGGAGGATCTGTCGACATGAAAACAAAGAGCTTAAGAATTTTGTAAGCTTGGGCGAAAATTGAAAAGGTTTGAAAATTATAGTGTGGAAGAAGGGGGGGACCTGCTTTGGTCACTGCACATTAGCACCACATATTTGTTCTGGCCTTTGAATATTCTGAAGAACACTGCGGTGTTCTCCTTTAGACCCTTTGAAGCCAAAACTAGCAACCCAAATGGACCAAGACTACTTCTAACTGATGCACCCTTTTGGCTGCATAGGAGCTGTGGGTTGGTCCAACTTGGTTTTAGCACTTCAGCTTTCTCCAGGTCAGAAATCTCAAATGAAATGTCAACATCTGCCTGTACGAGAGAAATGAATCGGAATAAACAATGGGTGGAGTGGAGAACAGAAACGACTGAAATTGCCCATATGATTTCCTTCTTGACCCTTAAATACTTCACATATGGGCCACGTGGCTAAAACCCATTGTCTGACTTGACCAGTTGTGAATAAAGAAAATAGAAACAACCAACTCACCTGTGCAGCAGTGACACCGGAAACTTCAATAACTGATCCTCCATTGAGCAATTTGCTTGGCAAGCTTACGTGGTTTGCACGTAGCTTTTCTATTGCTACTACTGGCCATTGCACCAATTGTTTTCCAGATTCGTCCAGCCATATTTTCCTAGGAATTGCCTGCAAAATGGAACCATAACGAAGATTTGACGACAGATTTTGCAGCTGTCAAGAAACAATTTTTTTAAAGAAGTTGAGGTATTGAGATTTGATCTTGATGTCGTATAAATTAACAGAATTAAACTCTAAACTAATTTATCAAATCATCTAAGATTTGCAAGCTAATAAGTTTTTTATTAGTTAAAGGTTGCATTTAATATTTTGGTGTTGAAACTTTCAACTTAAGTTACTTAATAAACAATCAATGACTATAAATCAAAACTCACGTGAACTCCAGACCATCCTTTCTTGATATCATCGGCAACACTTGATGATTCATTAATCCAAGCGCATAAGATTCTCCTGTTCTTCACACTGTCTAGGAAAGTTTTCGAAGCATAATATTTGCCATAATCATATCTCAAGCCTGAATCACCCTCCACAGATCCTTCATCTGGTGTGTAGATGTCCTTGACATTATCATATGAGCCAATAGTATAATAATCATGCTTGGTATCATCTAAGCTGACCTTAAGCACATGCTTGATAGATGGACCATTAAGAGATGTATCAACACCATTTTTGCCGCTAACTGAAACAGGGTAAAAGTCAGGGCATTCCCACATTCCAGTGTCCTTGCCAGAATGCAAAGGGGTTTGGGCTTCAACCCAATTGACAAAATCTTTGCTTTTGTAAAGAATGGCTAAGCCCTGGCGGTTAATTTTGCTTCCAATGATCACCCTCCATTTCTTATCAGGGCCTAACCAGGCAGTTGTTGGATCTCTGAATGAACTTGCATTAATCTGATTCTGAACAGTGGGTTGCATCACAGGGTTTTTTACTGACTTTACCCATTCTCTAAGGTAAGGGTCAGATAAATTCTTGGGCACGGCCAGATTCTGGACTTGACTGTTTTTGGGGTTAATTCCAGTGTAAAGCACAGCTGGTTTGCCACCAGGGAGGATTGTTGCTGAACCAGACCAGCAACCATTGATATCAGATGGCTGGGATGGGTAGATGGCCGGCTCATGAGGGATCCAATTCACAAGATCTTTTGATGTAGAGTGAGCCCAGACAATGTTGCCCCACACTGCACCTTTTGGATTGTATTGGTAGAACAGGTGGTAAAGTCCCTTGTAAATCATTAGTCCTGTCAATTAACAGTGGTTCAGGCTTTTTTTTTTTGGCTGTTCAACAATATCATGGAAATCTAGCATAATGCAATAGAATTCATCTTTTCTGGTTTTTTATCTAAGAATATTTCTCGGAGTATGGAGTTAAACTTAAGAACAGAAAATCATGGAGCAAAAAAACAAGAAACAGGAAAAAGAACTAACCATTAGGATCTGTTCATCCAGAGGTAGCCATTTGTCAATTCCAAGGTCAGACCAGATCAAATGACAATAAGAAGGGAACCAGAAGTCAAATAGTTAGAGATACGTAAATGCACTTGGCAAGAAATAAATGAACTTTGGGAAGAAACCATAAAGTTAAAACAGATAACATAGGAAAGCAAAAAAAAAAAAAAAGGAAAGTTCAAAAGGGAATTGAGAGAGTTTATGAAAAAACAAATATACCATTTATCCAATTCTTGGGAGGTTGAAAATGATATCCAGTTCTGTAAGGTTGATTTGTTGATGCAGTAGATTGAACCGTTTGAAGGTTTTTGTAAACATGGTGTGAAGCTTCAAGCTCCACAATTCCATGGCCAACCAAGAGAGCAAAGAACAAAAAGAACCCAACAAAAGAGCTAGCCATGTTTTGCATAGTGGGGGATGGTTGAGAACTGATGAAGGCCGCACCAAGGAAGGCAGTTTTATAGGAGGAGAAAATGAGTCATTTGGCATGATATGGAAATATAAAAAGAAAATTCAAAGCTGTCATCAAAGGCTTGAGAAAGAAACTACAAAGAAATTGTTGGAATTTCCACTGTATTTGCTGTCCATGAGAAAGGTCAATTTGTGACAACAATATTGATGGAAATTTATTCATTTAAATTGTTTTTCTCTCACTTTTACAGGTTGACTTTTATCAGTACAAATATTCAGAGTTCGAGTAAAAGAATGCAACCATATTGATCAATCAAACACGTTATCAAATTGGCTAACACTTCAATCTAGACTTAATTTAATTGATTTATCCATTCACTTTTACAAAATAAAATTTAATAAATTTTCGTTCAAATTTTAACATTTTTTTTACTAAAAAAATTGGCTAACACTTGATTTAAAAGTAGTGGGAAAATTAGTTTAAGCTTATTGTGGGTTAAAATGGTGGCTTGGCTTGTTAAATATGGATATACAAATATAGTAAATTAAGGGTTTATTTTATTTAAGTATGTCGCATAAACTAAAAGAACATTAAATGAAAATTTAAAGCTAATCAAAGTGGTCTTGGCCTAATGAAAATTAGACTATACAAATAGAATTAGTAGAGTAATATATGCCTTTAAGATATAGAAAAAATTTATTAAAAATAAAATATATTAAAAGCTCCCAATTTTATTTATAAAATTAAAAAATTTCACAGTCTATAAAAAAAATCCTATTAAATTAATTATTATCATCTTACTTAACCATTAAAAAATGATTATGATTTAACAATGCATAATATAATATGTAACATAAGTTAGCAAAATAGTATTTAATATGTTAGATAACGCCTTCAATGGAACAAAAGCACTTAAATTGTTGGCTTGACTTAGACCAATACAATTAACAATATACATATAGATTTGTTAAATCAATGTGCACAATTTGAACGCAAATAAAAAAATTTTTAGTAGACTCTTGTATTGGTACCGAGCACTGGACATATATACAGTATTGCCTTTTTCTTTTGGAATATAATATGTGGCTAGAAGTCAATGGTCAGTTGAGAAAAGATCCCAATGCACAAGGACAAATCAAAACCCTTATATTTGGAGTTTTCTTAGATTTCGAGGTGTTATACTTTAAAACGTTCAGTCAAGTCGTCCAACTGCTCCAACACACGAGATGCCATTATTTATACCGAGCAGCAAGGCGGAACCAATGGCGGAACCGCCATTAGAGCTAGAGGGGAGGTGCTTCCAAAAAGTTTCAAGATCATTATAGCATATACATTATATATTATATATTTTATTAAATTAAATTGATTCTTATATTAGAATTGGTATTTATTAATTTTATTTATAATTTAATTATATGCATTATAATTTTAAAAAATTAATTATATTATTATTGATCATTTATCATCCATAATCATTATCACAAGTCTTTAAAAATATTAAATTTATCACAAGTATAAAATCACTTATATATACCTAAAAAAGCAAATTAATTTTCTTTTTTTCTCAACAAGATTTCGTTCTTTAATAGGTGCTAAAAGTGTTTTTTTAATCTATTGTACTTTTTTATATATATTTCGTGAACTTTTTTTTTTATAAAATCTTAAATGAATTATATTAATTGTTTAAATTTTTTACTTTTTTGAAATACACACACATATATATATATATATATAATAAATGTGGGTATGGAAATAAAAAAATTCAATATATAAAATTTTTGAAAAAATAAATATATTTGTATTAAATATATACCTATATTTGACATTCATTTTAAATTTTAAATAACATAATACATGAAATATATATAAATAATTTTAATTAATCCTTTTAAATCAAATTAAACAGATTAAAAATAAAAGTACAATTATTTTTCTATATTATATATTGTCTTACATCATAAAAGAGGATAGATATTCCTATTCTATTATATTTTATTCTATATAATTACTAGTACTTGATTAGTGTATATGTATATATAAATGTATTCTCTCTTTTACAAAATAAGATTTTCTTGTATATTATTATTATTATATTTAAAATAATTAAAATTAAAAATATATATTATAAATTTATATTAAATTTACTTGTCATTAGATTTTTCTTTTTATTATTATTATTGAGACAAAGTGTCATTGGCCTCTCTTAGATCTTCCAAGCAAGGAGGTGAATGCATCTTCGATTATGAATGCCAACAAAAATTACAGGATTATTATATGTTTAATTCTCGAAGAAATAAATCAAAGATATAGAATGTGCTAATCATTTTAATATTAATAATAATTAAAATAATGTTATATATTATTTTTAATGATTTAATTATCATGATAATAAGATCGTATCATGACTTGTTTACTAGATATAAAAAAATATAGATTCGTTATTAATTTTTTTTATTTATGTGTGATTCATCATCTATGTAAATTTATCATTTTTTAAGTTATCTTAAATTTGACTCAAGATCTCAAAAAAAAAAAAAAGGGTTATAGTTTACTTAAATAAAACTAAGTTTGGAAGTGTGTAAGAAAAATTTTAGTATCCAAAAATACCCAAAAATTTAATATCAAATTAGTACTTAATAAAATATAATTTTTATTAATTTTAATATTTAAATATTAAAAAAAAAATTTTGGTTTTCACCAAATCGATTGCAGGCCAATGTCCCTTACTACTACTTTTTCACCAACTACTTTAATTACCCTTTTCTTTTAGTAATTGATTTTATGTCATAACTGTGAACTTATATTTTGTTCAATGTTTTCGAATTCGAAGCAATCTTTCTTTCAACTTTCTTCCTACAAAACCCTTTAATCCATTTCTGGGTTCTTTGATGTATTTGCATGGCATTTACTTTGAGTGTGTTTGTTGTACCTCTTAGCATTGTGAGAAAGATCAAATTATAACAACTTTTTTTAACAAACATAATATAATTCATATACCTTTTTACACTATTTATTCGAATTTTCAATTCTTACGTAGAAAAAAGTCATAAAAACTAAAAGCGTTTTTATTTTATCTATGTTCATCACCTTAGCAACAATGATATGGTTCTTTTATGGCTTTATGCTAAAGGATATGAACATTATTGTGTTGGACTTGAAGCAATAAATACAATAACATAAAAGTAATATATCAAAATAAACCCACAACAATATACAATAATTAATAATTTAAAACATAAAAAAATAAAATACACCAAGATTTATGTGAAAAACCCTCTAATGTAGAGGAAAAAAAATACAGACCATCAGAAAAATTTTCATTATTAAATAATGGATATACAAAGTTCTCATATAGCTAAAATTAGAGCTAATCAATAACTGGAGATATAATTAAAAAAATTTTACCAAATAGATGACTTAACTAAACACCATGGATTTATTCCTATAGAGTTTTAAAACTGATATTCACTTATCAAAATTTAGAACTCTGAATTATAAACTTGCTAATAAAATTTTAGCTTAATCAGACTATATACCAACTCCTATTTAACCAACTCTTTTTTTTCCTAGTTTTTTTTTTATTCGATGCCACTCTTTCATGTCTTAAAATAATTTTTTTTTCTTTTAATACGTAAGGTTCTTTTTCTTGGTCAAAGACTAAAGGTTTTGGGCTTTGTAATTAGCCAAAATCGATAGGGCTGGACCCCACATTTTCTAATAATTTTTCCTTCCAGCCTCATTAAGAAGAGATTTATCACCATAACAGTTTCATTTAGAACTTACCTTAGTCAAGGAACCCATTTCGATCAAGTTACTGTAAAGCTTAAATTTTTACTAGAAAGTATTTTAGTCAACATAGCTATTACATTCTCATCAATATGAACTTTTTTCAATAGTATATATTGTTTCTCAATCACTAAACATAATCAGTGATATCTAACATTAATGTACTTTGTTTTAGCTTGGTACATGACATTCTTATACAAATCTAAAGTACTTTAGCTATCACAAAATATCACATTTTTTTTTATTCAAAATTAATTAAAAAAAATATTTCATCCAAAGTATTTCTTTACCTGTTTCAATTGCTGCAATATACTCAGCTTCTATAGTTGATAAGACAACACACTTTTATAACTTAGACTGCTAAGACATAGCTCCTCCTATAAAAGTGAACAAATGCCCTAAAGTAGATTTTTTACGATCAAGATCACTTGTCATGTCAACATCAGTAAACCTTTCTATAACTAGTTGTGAAACTTCATAACTTAAGCATATTTTTTATATGCCCTTCAAATATTTAAAAATTCATTTCACTATTTTCCAATGAACTTTTTCTATATTAAAAATAAATTTACTTACTGCACCAACTGCATGAGTAATGTCAAATTGTGTGCAAATCATGCGATACATTAAAGAACTGTCTGCAAAAGAATAAGAACTACTAGATACAACTAGTTGTTTTTCATTAATCATTAGCCAAAATTTCTTACTCAAATGAAAATGATTGGCAAGTGAACTGTTAATTGATTTAGTATATTCCATGTTGAATTTACTAAGCACTTATTCAATATACTTTTCATATGATAATCACAGCTTTTCAACTCTCTTATCCCAAATAATATCCATATGAGAATCTATTTTACTGGACCTAAATCTTTCATATTAAGAACTTAGATAATTGTTCTTTCAACCTGCGAACCTTATCAACATATTATCAACATAGAATAACAGAATAATGAAGTTATCATCCAAAACTTTTTTGACATACACATAAAAATCTGCTGCTATTCTTTTATAATTATGGCTCATCATAAAAGAATCAAACTTTTTGTACTATTATCGTGAAGCTTGTTTCAAGCCATACAAGCTTTTATTTAGTTTGCAAACTAAATGCTCTTTTTCTTTCACTTTAAAACCCTCAGGCTGATTCATATAAAGGTCTTATTGTAAGTCACTATACAAAAATATAGTCCGACATCAAGTTACTTAAGCTTCAGATTCAAACTTACTGCTAATCTTAGTACCACTCGAATAAAACTCA